TTCCCTAATCTTAAACTCAAAAGCAAATTCAACAAATAAACACCACTCCAAGTTCTTTCTCTCAATTTAATCTCATGTTCCATCAATTTTTGATTGTTATTAATCATCAATCTTGTATCGACAGCCATTCTTGAAGCACTTGAAGTTAAAACCCATGCTGAATCCCATTCACCAATCTCATAGTAAAATAAACCTAATAATAGCATTGATTGAATAGTCTCAATAGTGGAAGTTGTTGTTGTTTCTAATGCAATAACTGAGTTTCTAGCACAATTTAAACTCAATATTTTACTTTCTTCATTTATAAAACCATTGAATTTAAATTGACCTAATGCTAAAATAGCCCAGATCAAACCAATGAAATTCCCATCAATGTTTGGATCTTTGACGTTGGATTTATGTGTATATCTAACAATAGCAAATCTATTAACCATAGGTAACCAAGGATGAACAACTTGAAAATATGAATCAACCAATTTTCTAGTATTTAGAGGAAATTGTAAAATTTCAGTAGGTAATGAATTTTTAGAAGTTGACTTGATATTGAATAGTGAACCAACTCTGAATGGAGATTTTGAAGTTGGTGGTAAGGTTTGAACATAATGTTGAATTGCAGTTGGTGAAAATGTTGAATTCGAAGATGATAACCCTTTATATTGTAATGCAATCTTGTTGAAATTCAAAGCAGCATCTATATTTGGACGGGAATGAGTTGGTGATTTGGTATCATTACTTGAGTTCGATCTTTTAAGTTCTTCACCTCCAGTAGTTGGATCTTCTTCTTTGGCATTGGAATGTCTTTTTGATAGTCTTTCTGGTGATGATTCTGTACCTCCTTCTTTATGAGAAGTTTTCAAAGGTTTCAAGTTTGGGTCTTTGAGATCCAAGTTCAAGCTTGGTAAATCATTCAATAAACAATGTGTAAACAATGGTTTGATGTTTGAACTTTCATGCCAGGTGGTATTCAAATCATTTATTTGACTGAAAAATTCATTCTTAACTTCAGGATCTGTTAACAAATTTGTCAACTTCAACAAGACTGAATCATCTTCAGTAAATAACTTTGTCAATAATAATTGTAATAGCAAATTCTTTGTCTCCAATTCTTTTGTATAACCACTTGGAATACCTCTTTTCTTGTTAGAGTCACTATAGACACAAGTTTCCTCATTCAAGATACAAGAAGTGCACGGATTTTTCCCATTACATTTGGCTTTTTTGGAACGACAGTTATCACAGGCTTTGCTTATTCTTCTTCTCTTGATTGATTGTTGAGATTCACCAGCGGCTGAACCAGCACGTCGAGCAGATGAGCTGACACCTTGTTTTTGACTTGAACACATGATTTTGAATTGATAACGTAGCTGGATCTGATACAGGAGACGTTTGACACAGTATTAAATTCTAAAACAGTTTGACAGCTATTATTGCATTATTGGATGCACTTGATCTCAGCACGTCCTTTGTTGACTTTATCCACAAGTGGGCTGACACGAATTTCTTTAAATATATAACCAGCTGGCACAGCTTCTGAAATGATTAGTAAAGAGGCCTAGAATGAATTGAGCCATTAGTAAAATATATTTCCTTCGGAATCGTTGGTGGAATGTATTAGTATCCCAGTTTGGTTCTGGGCTTTTGATCACTAGATAGCTGAATTTCAACTTTTTACCACGGAAACAAACTTCCGGGTCTTGATAATCGGGAAAATATTTAAGCGATGACCAGGGTCAGTGCTTTGGGGCTGGAGGGTATACGTTTAAGCGGGTGAGAAATGAGTATGGCTGGGATATTAAATGTTTATGCGACAGTGTATATTTGTATGATGCTTTATTTGGAGTCTAGATCAGTGAAATACAATGTTTTATTAATGTTTGATTCTTGGTGTTTAAGGACCTCATTTTGTTGTTTCACACTTCTGCCATTGCTGAGAGTGTCAATATCAACACTAAACTTTAGTACTTACGTACATAATAACATTTCTGAGGTTAAGAGCTTGATCTTCTCGAAACTTGGGTTCTGATTGAGGTCATTCTACTAGCTAACAACCACTGAACACCATTTATATATAACAATTAGCGATATCTGACCTTAACAACCAGCTTTGAACACGGCTTAATTACTGAAAACCGAAGAATGCTGCTAACTTCTTTGTAAGCTAATGACCCCATATAGATCTTTACTTTAGTCGTATCTAATCGTGCTTTTTATAGAGTTTTATTTACCTATAATTGATGGTTGGAAATTTGATCATTTGGTTTCTGCTTGACAGAGGCGACTGTCAATATATCACGTGTCTGTAACTACACTACCGCTTACGTCCTTAATAAGATGGCAACTATTTTACTTGATACAGTCTCTATGCAAACAATAAATTTCACAAACTGCTCTACACAAACATACTGCTAGTTCAAGTTATCTATTTCAATTGAACTGGACACTTTGTGTATTGTGGTTTCTCAGAACTCAGACCTTATACGTTGTTTGGAGATTTTGTGTGGTGCTGTCCATTTCGCATTTTGTCGCCTTCAGAATTTCAGAGTTTGACAGAATATCCTCTACTGTGTGTATATAAGGTAATTCCGATGTTCTATTAATATACATATAATGTTACAATTAGTGGATTCTTGATTCTTCTTATAGTTGATGTGAAATGTTGAGTATTGATGAATTGTGCATAATTGGTTATTCTGGTTATGTAATACCTGACATTCCCCCCCTCATTTCTGAGTATTTATTGAATGTAATAATATTAAATATGATGAAACTTGATTTGGAACTATATTGTGTTGTCTTTTGTTAACCGGTGTTCAATTGGTTGTGATTGAATATGAAAGAATGAGTGAAGTACCTATAGATTTAAAAAGAAATGATTCTTGAATGGTGTGGAGGTTAATGTCTTTTGAATTTCAGGACCTGAGTATTTCTTGGTGAGAAAATCTGAGCAGTTTGAGATACCTGAAATATGATGGAATGTAACAATGTTATCTTCTTTGTAGCATTTAAGTTG